GAGGGATGGAAAGGATGGAGAATGCGGCGGATGGCCAAGTCTGATGCTTTTGTGTGGAGTGAGGGAATTGCTCACCATCACGCTGAATTTATACCTGAGATGCCCTTGGTGGCGGCCTAGGATGACACCCATAGGTCTCACTGGAGAAGCAACTCGATCACTTGGCAGACGTGCTAAGATGTGAAGACGCGCATACCTCCACAGGCCATCGAACGAATTCGTGGCGGATAGAATTGCAGCCGGCAAAACAGCTTGGATGGTAGGCTGCGGCACGGAATGCAACAACCTGACTATCCTTGGGTGGCGGCCAAAGACATGAAACACGGTAAAGCGTGCCCGACTGTACGTACCTGAGTCTTATGCTGTTCAAGGAAGATCGATAGCACGGCACGTGAGACCTTAAAGCACATAAATGCGACGGTAGTACTGACCTGGGAAGAGACCAGTTTTGTAGTGCATATGCCACTGTGGTTGTGCAAACGTCAGTGACTAGGTGCTAACGCTAGCATCAAGCAGGCATGAACGTCACCTCGTAGTTATCCTACCGCCACAAGCCCATTAGCAATGGAGGCACGGGGAAGATAATGGAAGAAGAAACTCAATGAAAGGGGAACAGTCCGCAGCAAGCCGTAAGCAGTGCTAGATTTTTTATGGTGGTGAGTGGGCGACATCCCTTCTAAGGGTGTTCGAAAACATGAATGACATGCCATGAGGGAAACAATGATCACATCAAAATATCCTTCTGACGAAAAAAATGTAACTTGAAGTGTATCCCCCGCACCGTGACCGATTAGTTAGCCGATTATCTTGCAAAGAAATAGACCAAGTACTACGTACTTGTATGTTATCGGGGAGAAGATAGCTCGAACTACCGACAAAGCAAGATGTGCGCATGCTCTGCAGCTGGAATTTGAAACGCATTCTACACCCATAGGAAGGTTTTGAAATTTGGTCCACCACAACAACAGATCAAGCCGACATAAACGGAACGTTAAACCAGCAGTAATGTACAAGACTGTGCGACCTTGATGAGGTGAACGCACTGCTTGGAACCACAGACTTGGCAGACTCGACTCAAACTCACCAAAAAAAGTTGCATGCGGACCGTGAGCATGAAATGGAGGACAGGTGTAGTTCCACATAAGGTCCACACCAGCAATGGAATAACACTGATCTGTGTTTGGCCGCCATAATGATTACCTTCAAGTTGTTCAGTACCACAGCCTGAGTGGCGGCAGCACAGCAGTACTGCCTCGGAGTCGGGAGTCGGTGCAGCGCCACGTGTGTATCAACATTTTACTTGCTGTTCGTCGACATTCAACGTTCAAGCCAGTCTGAATTGAAACTTCAAGCTTCAAGTCTACCAAGGATCAAATTTCAGAGGGCATCGAGAGGTATCAAGAAGACGTCCGATTAATCAATGAATATTCTGAGAGAACAACGATAGTACTACGTACACGTAAGGATTCTCAAATTCTAGTCTCCGGGGGTTGCACGCTGATCCAGACCTGGATCACAAAGATACGGTATATGAAAGAACCACAGGAGCATTACCTCTACTAGTACGTTGTAGGTGTCTGATTTCAATCATAACGTGTACCACAGCAAGGTGACTGAGAAGAGGGTTAGACAGGAATGAGTCCAAGAGTGCGAGGATAAATCCGCAAGGCGAGTGACAACTCATTTCTCTTATCCTCCACGCCATCAACATACATTGTCCAAGGCATCCCCACATCAACCAGCTAGAATTATATTAACTGACCCCCAGCAGAGCCCCAAGTCCCAACTAAAATAGCCAGTTGCTGATCGAATCGACCATAATGCCAGCGCCAGTAGTAGCGGTGTGCGTCGGTGCGGCTATTGCAGGTGTCGCTGCTGTCATGCTTTCCATGAGGTGATTTCTTTCTTATGTCTATCAAAACCTTCCATTCCGTCTTCCATCCGCTGTCCGAAACAGCCCTCTAATATTACTCTTCAGTTCGTCTTTGAACCCCACATTGCCCCCGCCATCGAGCGTTGGGCAGAGGACTTCCTCGCCAAACGTCGTGCTCGACGCAGAGGTCCTGTTCCTTTTCCATCCACCCGAGGGTCTGGACATGGAGACCCAGGGCCCAGCGGTGCTAATCCGAGGAAAGAGCCCCTGCAGGAGAAGAAGATCCTATCGAATTACAAGGCTTCAATCTCGATTGAATGGCGGAACCAGGTCTATCACACCGCCCCAGGTACGGGTTATGAGGCGAAGAGTCGGAGTAAGTAATTCCCGATACAGACGAAGGGAGTATATCTAACACAATGAATGAGGTATGTCTGTCTTCCGTTTGTATCTTACCCTTTCGAATACTGATCAAATATGAACAGTCTATCACGTCCCTCACGCACACCCCGCTCTCACCCACTCATTTCATTTCCAATGTCTCCTCCCCAATCATGGAAGCTCACTCCGTATCCACCCGCACGCCCAGCCGCGCCCACTCTCGTGCCTCTTCTCGTACCGCAAAAGATGGCGAGCGTGAGGGCAACACTTTGTTTTTCGCCCCGTCTTCGCCCTCATCCTCTGCACCTCCCAGTCCGCCATTTGGACCCATCCTCCCAGATACCCCCCGCACAAGTGCTGCTTACTCTGCCCGCCCATTTTCTCCGGTTGTGCGCACGCCCGTGCATTCTCGCGTACCATCGAGCAGGCCTTCCCTGCGGCACTTGAACTCAAGCTCAAGCTCGCGCGTCGGTGTGGATATGCAGGGCAGGCGTGTAAACATTGACGTCGTTGGCGAGCACGTCAACTTCAACATCAACAGCAGCGTCAATACGAGGATGCAAGAGGGTATGAGCGCAAACACTAGTGTTGTAGATTCACTATCAGAACGTTACCCCGCACCGCCCACTCCGCCCGTCCTGCTCTCCCCGCCTTCATCACACACTACCTCCTCCCCAAGCACAGACATACTGAGCCTTGGGAGCAGCGGTAGCCAGCCCGGCTCGCCATTTGACATGGTGTCCCCGCCTGTTCGTATCGGTGAGGTGCACCTCCCCTCGCACACATCCCTCTCAGGTGCTGTGAGCTCGCTATCTCCCTTGATGAGCGAGCACGACTTTATGGCGTTTGGCGAGGCGTCGGATCTGGATGGGGCGGAAATCTTGGCTTCGCCAAGCGGAAGTACACGTTTGCATAATCCGTTTACTGATTTTGATGAGGGGAATGATTCCGACAGCGGTAGTGAAGGGAGCTGGAGACGGCTGAGTGTGACATCCCGCAGGTGATGCTCGTCTTGAGGGGGAGTTTGTCACATCATCAGAAACAGGATGGATGGTGGTGTAGTGTGCCTTGCTCCTTTTTCTCTTCCTTTTTACTATCTGATTCCCTATTTTGTCGTTAATTCGTACTCGTGTTGTTTTGTCGCTCTTTTCCTCCGTGTTGTATCTTTACCCTCATTGTGATCGTTGTGAACCCACGACAAATCATCGAACATATTTTCGACTCTTCTCCTTTGACAAATCCAACTGACTGTGTTGCTGTAGTAATGCCATCTATATCGACTGCGACGGCACCTTGCATGCAACACTGGAAATGGCACTCAAAAGTTAATGTTTGTGATATTTAGTATTGATTGGCAGCGAGAATGGCAAGAGGATCAGGATATCTAGTCTGTCCCTGCATATACAATAACTTATCTATGAACGCGCTTTTCGTTACAGCTGTTTGCAAAAAGGTTGACAGTAGCGACATTTTGAGAAAAGAACAAAACAAATAAATAATAGATTAATAGCCACATACATACATCACAAATTGACCATCATGTATCGGAAAATCAGTCACGACTAGCCGCAATTAATCTTCACAAGCATTAACACCTTGCACTCGAAGACATTCTTGCTTGCGTCGGAGATTCGGAATGCACGTTCTGGCGGATCCTCAAGCTCTGGCGCGAAACGGGAGGCATACATTGCGTCAAGCGTTTGCAAGTATATGCGCGTGTTATTTAACCCTATGTATGTGTTCATTATTTATTTGTTTTGTTCTTTCTCAAAATATCGCTACTGTCAACCTTTTTGCAAACAGCTGTAAAAAGAATCTATTTTGCATAATTTGAGGGGGTAGTGGACGGATGGATCCGAGTTCATCATGTCACGGTGGTCATGTACTCGAGTATATACTTGCCTTTGTTCAAGTTTGTTGTCTTCCCCTCCAATCAATTCTCGATTTCACTCTTGTCGCGTGCTTGTCTTGTTCCCTCTCTCCTCGTTTGCTTCGTATCTTGCCCTCATCGGCATCATTGTAATTTGGCGGGAGGCTTTGAAAATCGAACAGATTGAATATACGAGGTCCCGTAGGGTCTCTCGTGGGTAAGTGGATTCATTGATTTGGTTGCAATCAATGTTTGATATAGTTGTATACCAGGCCAATCATGACCTTACAATCGAGGTGATGGGCTTATTACGTCGCAATTGCCAAGTCAAACACCAGTAATCAGAAATGTCACTGTTTGCCGGGTAAGCTGGCCTTGTAGTCAACTATGTCGCATCCATGAAATGAGCGGAACTCAATTCCCTTCTTGATCCGCCCTTCCTTGGTTTGAAACTGAGTATGACTGTCTTAGACGTCAGTGATGAGGAGTGGGTGGGTGCTACTGACAAGGTCTAGACTCGAGCCCTATGGGGATAAATCGGCCGCTAAGCTCTTTCGTTTCGGATTAGTTCAGGGGTTCTGACATAATTATCACTGCAGTCTCTTCCAAGCTTACTGGTTACATAAATTCTTCACGAGCGCTTTCCCTGCTGCGCAGTCTCCATGAATCACCATAGCAGAGAACAAGTCATATCCGACATTACAATTGAACGAACACAGAAGGTATTTGATGATGCCACATCGAATTTAAACTCGACCTCCGCTAGAACGCTTGACAAGCGGGATCAGGCAGGTTCGTCATTGACAATCTATCTCGGTCAGTAAAGGTGGTATTCAGATTACTTTAGAGGATTGTGTCGCCCAGACCGCTCAAGAAGTTGTATCAGTGCACGATTTCTATACCCAGAATGCCACAGCCATCAAGTCAGCATCTAATGCAATGGTCGCGGACCTCTCAAAGAAGAATATGGGCGACTTTCTGGGAGAGGCAAAGAAGGTGATGGAGGCCCTGGATGTTCTGCAACAGGTTCACCCGTTTGTTGGTGGTGTGTTTACCGCTTGTCGATGTTTCCGCCTCAGCTAATAGTTGTATAAAATGCAGTGGCTATACTCGCTTTCAAGGCTGTCGTGAATCTTGAGCTAACAAGAAGGGAAAACGATCGTAGAGTTGGATTGATGTTAGCTCAAGCATCTGACATGATGACCATGCTTCTCCAGTTCGTCATCCGACGCCAGTTTTGAACGACTCTTGCTGATTCGATTCGACGGTAGACTTAAGGACACTAAAGATCCTGCCATCGTGGGACCTCACGGCAACATTCGGGGGCGATTGGATCGTGTCCTGGACGGCATCAAGCAAGATATCGAGGATTGTGGAAATGCCATTGACAAATACTACAAGTCAAAATTCATGGGTAAGTTTCCCTCATATTCTTGAGTGTTTCATATAGAAAACCACATTCGCAGTGAAATTCTTCAGATCCTCCCATTGGGCGAGCGAGTTCCTGAAAGTTTGCAACAGCTTTTCCCAGCGTACACAGGACCTCCAGCTCGCCTTAAATATCAGGACGACATTGAGAGTTGATATTGCCATTGATAAGCTAGACAAGCTGATCCGGATGCAAAGCGATCGCGAAGCGAGATTCGAGAAGGAAGTGCAGATGCGCGGTGGAAGAGAGAAATGTTTGGAAAGTGAAGAAAAACTGGTAGAGCTACTGAAAGTCGCCGAGCAACGGGAAGGGCGTCCACAGAACAAACCGCATGCTGATCCTTCTACCAAAGATGTCAACAAGCCTACTTCGAAGACCGGCCGCCTTGATGCATCGCTGCTTTACGAACTACGTGCTCCGTTACGCAATTTACTTGACGAGAATCGTGCACTCTTCATGTTCAAGCTTGATACACAGACATCCGACATTAAAGATGCCATCAAGGATTCTGAAACGCGCATTATATGGGCCTTCAACAGCAGATTTCGACGGGTCAGGGATCCGGTAAGGATGATGAAATTCAACCTTATGTGTCACTAACTTGGTCAATTTCACCAGCACCTCCGGTATATCTGGAAAGAGATGGTATGCCTTTGTGCAGGCGTGACTGAAGCGCATACTTATCATCACCAAGAAATGGACAACAAGTGTCAAGACGCCATACTTCATTGCAGAACTCAATGATTATTACGTGAACCGTTTCTCCCACCTCCGTCATGACGCTCTGCTCCTAGAAGCAGCGTCGGATACTTCATCTTTGGTACCGCGAGTCTCATCTCCAACTCCCACCGTCTCTGTCATGTCGGATTCAGAAGGAGAAGACCGCGAGCTTCCAGCAGTCGATTCTGTGTACCACGAACTTCCTGCTGTCGACCCTGCAGACAAATGGTGCTTGAAATATTTGTCCGTTTTCTACGTTCCAAGGTTATCCGAAGGCTTCGACGGCGATGCAAATGGATTGGTCAGTGTGAGGGAGGTGAATGCTTTTACGTCCGCAATCCCGTTGGGTTGGACTCTGCCGAAAGCACTTGCATACTGGGCTGCAGGCAAGGATTGTTATCATCAGGTCCAACCAGTGCTAATGTTGGTGAAGGATGGAGAGTGGATAGCCAATACTATCATGAACGAATCGAACAGGTCTTGAATAGCATGGTTTATGCGCAAGCAGATGTACTTCCAGAAAATAGGAGGTGTATCGCCACATACTTGAACTCATATGTCATCGATGGTGCGTCGCTCTGCCCACCTTTTGATGAAGGCATTTACACAGCAGACAGGTATCAAAAGGCTCGTCCGTTCTCTTGCAGAGCTTGGATCGGAGGATTCAGACTTGGATCTCACACAACTTATTGCTCAGCGTCGCAAGGCTCAAGAGGAGACATTGGCGGATAAGCTCAAGATCGTCAAGTATGAAATCGACTCCAAAGATTCTATTAAACTTTTCGGATCTGGTCGCATCGAAAATGTGGGTTGTTGACTCAGCATTTGCACTTGCGCTGAATGCTCACATGAGTCACCTTGCTTGTTCAGTTCTTGCTACCTTTACTTTACCTCGTAATCAGGAGGCATTTACAGATCATGAAACTCGCTAGCACAGTAGCTGTGGTCGAGAGAGAACTTGAGTCTGCGACTCAAACGATAGAAAATATCTTAGAAGGGGTATCTCTGCGCGTGGACCAACTGGCAGGTGTGTTTCTAAGCTATGTCATGATAAGCCATCTCCTTCCACCATTGCAGAGTCTTTGCGTCAGCAAGGCAATGATCCAAAAGCGAGATTCGCGTGGTATGCGCATGGCTTGGTACGTAGAGGCTGCAACTTTATATCGATTCCCGGTCTAATACTCCGTAATAGTACAACTTTTGGTACAGTCCAGAATTAACCACAGACGACACCGAATACTGGGAAACTCACGATTTTGGGCTTGATGACACTGAGCTGGAGATCGATTCAACAGCATTGAAGCTTGGTCCTTTCAGTCTGACAGAGGACAATGGAGCGGTAGGAAGACCTGTCAAGTTCATCGCATTTAATCCCGGTCAGCAGCCTGAAGACCCCATGGAAGAATATATCCGTTTGTGGTGCATGAATGACCTGCAGTATATGCGGAACTTTTACCCTCACGAAATCCCGCCTTACCTATCGTTGACCGACAAAGAAAGGTTCAATGTCCTGTCCCAAGAGCTACCACCCGCAGACGTCGAGCGTTGGAATTCATTAGCTGAACTCCAGGTGCGCAGACGACTGTTCGAGTGAGTCCATCTTCTATCTATCTGTCATTCTTCGAACATCTGCTTTTCCGGTGCTCAGGTGTCAGTGTGATGCATGTCATTACCTTGTCAGTGATGTCCTTCACCGTTGTATAGACTGCGAGTCCAGTGAGCGTGACGCAGACAACCCTTCCGTGCAAGACGGCTAATCTTCTTGCAGACGACTACGATGTGTGTGTAGATTGCGAATCTCAGCTGGTCTCGGATCACAAATTCCCATCCGACCACAAGTCAACGCATAACATGCTTGTTTTCCGCATGTCGCTACCTCATGGTCGCTACCGCCGAGTCCGGTGGTATGCCAGGAATTTCTTATCCACTTGCATGCCTGCTGCAGCACCGCCAGAAGCACCATTGGCTGCGCGAGAAGATGAATCCAAAACGCAGCCGGATGGACCTGAACTTCCACATCCCACAGATGCCACTCGAGCAGATGATTCTTCCGCCTTTGTCGATTTACAGGAAGGTGATGAGAAGTTAAATGGGAACCCGGGAGTAGCACTCGGGGAGATGGCTGGAACCTCAGTTGCGAATGGGGATTCCTATGCTTGTGCTGAATGCGGCGTCAAGATAAAGGGCATTTTTTATGTATGCCTTACCTGCGCAGGTTAGATTTCTGTACGTCTAATGGGGCACAAAGCTTAATACTTGTCACAGAACTCTATTCCGCAATTGCCCTATGCGGTGATTG